AATCGATAAAGTGAAAGTGGTTCCATATGCTTCAGCTGTCGGAAGGTTGCAACATGCTGAAAGCTCTAGTTTGGTTTTGGTAAATTGATAAAACCCTAAGTGCTAACCTAGTTCATCAAGTGATCATGAGATAGGTAGCACACTTCAAGTAGAGAAGCAAATGAAGATCATAACATGACAATGGTGATAGCATGGAGATGATCAAGGGCTTAAACTTGAAGAGAAGAAAGAGAAAAACAAAAAGCTCAAGGCAAAGGTATAACTTGTAGGAGCTATTTTATTTTGGTGATCAAGACACTTAGAGAGTGTGATCACATTTAGGTTTGATAGCCGTACTATTAAGAGGGATGAAACTCGTATCGGAATGCGGTTATCAAAGTGCCACTAGATGCTCTAACTCATTGCATATGCATTTAGGATCTAGTGGAGTGTTAACACCCTTGATAATATTTGTGTAAATATGCTAACACATGTGCACAAGGTGTTTGCAGGGTTGAGATGGGTTTGGGTCGCAAGCTCGGTGGGATTCGGCGCTTTTGGAAAAATGAAATGTCTATTTTCTATTGCGCCGGATGCAAAATTCTTGGTGGTTGGCACATTTGAGCAAGGGTGAAGAAGTTAGAGTTGAAATGGAGTTGGTCGAAATGATGCTGGCGTCGGTCTACTGACCGGACGCTGGGTCACTCAGCGACCGGACGCTGAAAGGCTGCGTCCGATCGAGCTGTCAGACGGCACAGTGGGTAGGGTTGAGCACCGGACGCTGATCTGCGTCCGGTCAAGGTGGACCGGACGAGTCCGGTCGAAAAAACATGCCTTGGGGAGCTTACTGGAAATGACCGGACGCTGGGGCTTCAGCGTCCGGTCAGTTTTACCGGAGCGTCCGGTCAGCTTCGCAGCCGTTGAAATCTGACGAACAGCGTTTGAAGCTGGTGACGCGTGGCGTCCATTGGGCGACCGGACGCTGAGGGCCAGCGTCCGGTCAGAGCGTGTTTTGCCCAGTGAAGGGGTACAACGGCTCTATTTGATGGGGGCTCTATTTATAGCCCCATGGCCGGCTCAAGGGAATACTCTTGCACATTTTCATTGACATAGCAACCTTGTGAGCCTAGCTAAAGGACTCCCACTCATCTACATTATTGACTCATCATCATAGTGAGATTGGGAGTGATCCAAGTGCATTGCTTGAGTGATTGCATCTAGAGGCACTTAGTGATCGTGTTTCGCTGCGGATTTCGCTTGTTACTCTTGGTGGTTGCCGCCACCTAGACGGCTTGGAGCAGCGAGGATCGTCGAGCGGAGGTGGTGATTGTCTCCGGCTCCGATCGTGGTGATTGTGAGGGGTTCTTGACCTTTCCCCGGCGGAGCGCCAAAAGGTACTCTAGTAAATTGCTTGTGGCTTGTGTGATCCTCATCTTGTGTTGGTTGTGCGGCACCCTATTGAGGGTTTGGCGAGTGATGCCAATCAGCGTGTGAACCTCCAAGTGAGTGAATCGCCACAACGAGGACTAGCTTGCCGGCAAGCAAGTGAACCTCGATAAAAATCATTGTGTTCATCATTTGATTCCGAGGTGATTGGTCTACATTGGTATTCATTATTGTGTTTGATTGGTTTCTACCACTACACGACGGTATAACTCTCTTGCTCACTCTTACATTACCGCAAACTAGTTATCAAGCTCTTTAGTGTAGCTAGTTGTGAGAGCTTGTTTGTTTGATTAGTGTTGCTCTTTAGTTAGTCTTTGAGAGCACACTAATTTAGCTAAGTGTCATAGCTATTGTGTGGACATACACTATTTGAAATAGAATTGTGATAGGTGGCTTGCATTTTAGTAGGCTAGCGCAACACTCACTTCGCCGCAAAATTATCTAACACATTTTGTTAAGTGTTGTTGTAGAATTTTATTAGGCTATTCACCCCCCCTCTAGCCATTAGGACCTTTCACATGCTCAAGTATGTACACGCCCTGACTTGGCATTTGTTACCGGGTTTTACTTGGCAGATTCTAGAGGAATTCTGGAATAGAACACTAAAATTAATAAAGAAAGTCTTGCATTATTTGCAAGGAACGAAAGGCCTCATGATGACATATAGAAGATCTGATCCACTCCACATGGTGGGATATTCAGATTCTGATTATACGAGAGTGAATGCATATCCAGACGTGGATTTTCTATCATCTCGCAAAGGGGAGCTATTTCATGGAAAAGCTCAAACCAAACTGTCACTACATCGTCCACAATGTATGACGGTTTGTAGCGTGTTATAAGGCAACGGGCAGGTGAACTGACTAAAGAAGTTCATACCCAGTTTGAAGATGGTTGACGACATCTATAGACCACTAAAATTATACTGCGATTATAATCTGGCAGTACAGGATGCTCACAACATAAGTCAAGTGGTGCTGCCAAACACATTGACATATAGTATTATGTTGTGAAAGATAAAGTCTGGGATCAAGTCATAAGTCTTGAGCATATAAGTATAGAAAGGATGCTCGCGGATCCGCTTATAAAAGGCTTACCACCCAATATGTTCAGAGAACATGGTGTTCAGAGAACATGTAGCTAGCATGGGTTTAAGGGAAAGCCTAAAATTCCTAGACAAAAGAAGGCACAAAGATAAGTATCTATTTCAGAACAGAGTAGTGAGTTGTACCTGTTAAGTCTATCGGCAATGGACCGTGACGATGAGACATGCTCTATGAGTTAATCTGTAATGGAATGAACAAAAGTAAATGATATGAAAGTGAAAGATGGAATGAGATCGAGGGAGAGAATGTTAGTTGATCTCCACCAATAGGCCCAACGGCCTATTGGATCCTTGTCTCTGCTCCCTGATCGGGGGAGCCCAACCCTAATATGGTTGGTGGGCCCCTGTCGCACAGCACATATAAAAGGTAAGGTGGGGATCAGGACTCGCCAACGAGTTTGACCGGAGCCGCCACACCCACCTAAAGATAACCCTAATCTGATCTAAAGGTCGTGCTGCCAGCGACGGGATGTGTCCCACCACCACCGTCGCACCACTGCAGGGTCACCACCGGACCGCCGTCTCGCCACCGAGCCGGAGCTGCTCCTACACCGGCGTCCACGCTGCTGCTGTGCCGCAACAGTGAAAGGCGAGAAGGGTCTTCCCCGGATCTACGGGTTACGGTCACAGAGAGGTACACACAATCGATTCTAACATCCTATACATATCCTGAATCCATAGAGACCAACAGAATGCTCCGTATTCAATGTGAAAGCAGGTACATGTCTTTTTATCTGCTACACAAAATATTCTTAAGAGTTAAATGCACCAGATGTCCATTAACTTGTGAGGAGGTTTCGGTTAGGTCCATCAACTTCTAAAGTGGTTTTTTGGGTCCATAAACTTTGTATGCCGTATCACTTAGGTCCATACCCCTCCACGCGGGCTTCTCATGCTGACATGGCCTGCTGACATATCCTTCTGAAGCAACTCTTGGCAATGCATTTTATCAAACAGCTTGTGGGCGAGCGCCACTGCCTCGGCGCCGAGCATCGGATGCACATGGGGTCACCGCGCGCCTACGAGCAGGGCGCTAGCCATGACGGCACCAGGCGAGGCTAGCGCGGAGGCGCGCTCGAGACCCTCGCGGTGTGCTAGGTCTACGGTGGCCGCGTCCTCGGTGCCGCCCTACTCCTGCCTCACGTCGGGGGACTTCGCCCGCGACCCCTGTGTGGTGTTCCCATGCGGCCTCCGCTGCTACATGACCGCTGGCGCCACCAACTCCTACCTCGCGTCACCGTTGTCGCGCTCGACCCCACAGGTTACTTCAGCGCGCCTCGCTGCCCTTCATCGCCCTCCCCTTCTTCGTCGCTGGCCCCTCGCCGACAACCGGTTCCACGGCGAGCTCCCGTGGGGGGTCCCGCTGCCGCCGAGCCTCCGCATCCTGACCTCTTCGGCAACGCCTTCTCCGATGCCATCCCGGGGTCCCTGTTCACCGCCTCCTCCACGCTGTAGGAGCTCTACCTCTCTCGCAACGGCTTCTCCGTGAAGGGGTACCGCTTGTTGGCGCTCCTGGCGCCTCGACGCGCTCAAGCTACAAAGACAACGCACTCATGGGGCCCCTGCTGATTTGGGCGTAATCGCGCCGCTGGTCCACCTCGACGTGAGTGGCAACGCGCTGTTGGGCTCGGCTGCTTTCGGCGTCTGGGGACATCGCTTGCCGTTGTTCGTTAAATCACGGCGGCGCAACAACTCCTTCTCCGCATTGAGCGCTGCTGGGCGCTGGCAGCGCCTCCTCGTGGTAAAAAGGCTGGACCTCACAGACAACGCGGTGTCCGGCGCGGTCCCGGGCGCCGCGCTACGCGACTCCGCGCCTGCCGCCGCCTTCAGCCGCCATTCCATCGGCGTCGAATCGAATCGCACGCGCCCATGACGCTGGTGAAGTTGGCGAGCATGACCTTCCGGAGCAGCTGCTCGCGTGGCCCATGACATGAGTCCCAGCGCCCTGCCGTTGAAGACGATGACCATTCACGCCGCCCGTACACACGCTTCACGCTTGGCTTGTCACCGAGCTCGATCAGTTCCATCGTGGCCGCCGTTCACGCATCTAGCGAAGCCATCAAGATGTATGTACAGTGCCGCTATTCACTAACCATTCTGCCTAGCCCAAGCGACATAGGAGCCGAGGTGCACCGAGCGACTCCGACGTACTCGCACCCGCTGCTGGTCGTGGACGTCGGTCCAACCCGGGGCCCAAGTACCCGCTGTCATTGGCCCACGTGCGCGCGCTCCTCTGCGTCTTTGGACAATGGATCGCTGCCGCGGCCTCGCCTGCTCGAGCCGCGCCGGCGCGCGCCGCCGCCGACGCGGCTGAAGGTCTCATTGGACGGCTTTCTCCCCGACTCCGCAAAGACGCACGGAGCTCGTAGGCGAAGAGGTTGTACGCGTTGATGTGGACGAGTCCGGGCTGGTGTGGACGACGAAAACGCGCGACTCCATCGAGTTGGCGCGCTCCAGGAGGTCCGCGAGCATGGCGCGGTCGGCGCCCGGTGGGAACGCGCCTTTCACGACACCACTGGCGCACGCGTGGCGCAACGCTGCAGCGTCGGCGGCGTGATGCCGCCGTGGTGGGCCGTAGTCGTCGTCGGCGTGAGCGGCGGTGACCTCCATCCATCCATAGAGCGACACGACGTCGGGCGATGGCGGTCATCTCGAAGCTGTCGCCAGCATGCCGCGGACGAAGTAGGGTATCTTGCAGGAGGCGAGCGCCGGGTCTCGGCGCGGTCCGGCGCCAGCCATTTCGTGCACCCGACGACGCTGCAGCAGCTTGCGCTGAGGGATACAACCAGCTCGGACGCGCTCTAGGAGGCTTCCGACGACGGATCCTCCAACCGGCTCGTGGAGCTGGACTGAGCGGGCAACAAGCTTGCGGGCGGCCGCCACCGCCTTGGCGCAATGCCATGCCATGGCGGGCGGGCCTGCTGCGTGCCGTGTGGTAGCGGCGGCTGTACGCGTTGAACCTAATCATCATGCCACGTCAGCCTGAGAAGCCCGCATGGAGGGGTATGGACCTAAGTGATACGGCATATAAAGTTTATGGACAAAAAAGCCACTTTCAAGGTTGATGGACCTAACCGAAACCTCCTCACAAGTTAATGGCCATCTGGTGCATTTAACTCTATTCTTAACTATGGTTTATTTGCATGTTATTCTTTACTAGACACACATGCCTCAAATTTCAATCCCAGTTATATTTTAGTGGTGTAATTGTACTCAGCTTATCACTGTGTACAAGCAGATGCAGGTCAAGTTTGATACTCTGTTGTCTGCTCATGTTCATTTTTTTATAAAAATGTTCTGGTCTCAGCATATTTCACTGTATAATGGTGTTGTCAATTGAACAGATTCTCCACGTGACTTTGTTCAGTTCATTGAATGGTCTCCTCGGTCCTGCCCTCGTGCATTGCTAGTGGCAAATTTTCATGGGCGGATCACTATATGGACACAGCCAACAAAGGTAAGTTATTACCTTGAGATGGATGCATCATTTCTATTTAGAGCTAACTTTGCAGTTCAATAAGAACATGAGTTTCTCCGGTAGCTGCCTGAAACAAAGTTTTATATTTGATGTTATCAAATATTTTCATACTAATCACTTTATTCTGCGGTGAAGGGTCCTGTAAATCTTGTACGTGATGCAAGCTCGTGGCAATGTGAACATGAATGGCGTCAAGATCTTTCTGTGGTGACCAAGTGGTTGTCAGGAATTTCTCCGGTACGTTGGTAACACACATAATACTCCATGCTGCTTACCTTCACTATTTAACATGCCCCATTGTGGTTAATTCAACAATTCTGCTGAATGACCCTGTTTCCAGTTTTCACAGATCAGATTTCTTGAGCACCATAACAGGGCTCATAGTCATTTTATATTTGTCAAACGCAATATTCAAATTAATTGTAGTGTTTTGTTAAGATCCAGGTTGCTGTTTTTACCCCAGCCTATGTACAGGTAAATACTTTTCAAGGTCATTTCGGTCATCCTTTATTGAAAAGTGCTACTACCTAGATCTGACATATACACATGCCTTGGTTATAGACTTAGGCCTTGTTTAGATTGGGGTTAGGAATCAGTATTTGGCATTGTAGCACATTCGTTTGTATTTGACAATTATTGTCCAATCATGACCGAACTAGGCTTAAAAGATTCGTCTCGTAATTTACAATCAAATTATGTAATTAGTTATTTTTTATCTACATTTAATACTCCATGCATGTATCTAAAGATTTGATGTGATGGAGAGAGAGTAAAAAAACTTGCAATCTAAACAAGGCCTTATAGTTGACAAGTTTTGGAAAGGGACAGGGTTGCACATACTAGGGGGGGGCGCATCAGGAAGATAGAATCATATCATCTTAAAAGAAAGGAGCACAATGTTGGGTCTGTGTGAGGCCTTATTTTTTTAGAAAAGGAGGTCTCCCCTGCTTTTTATTTCAAAAAGCATAACAGTGCAAGCATAGCGTTTAGGCGCGCCCGCCATACAGGTTCAGCCACAGTGTGTCAATCCGTCCTTAGGTCTTAACTGGAGCCCACAACTGATTAGACATCACGTGTTCTTCTATCAGCAATGTATCGAACTCAGCATGAGTCCATACGTGGGCCCAAAATCAACTGCACCCTCCTCTCCTTTGCGCGAGCAGCAATGCCAGGAAAGAGTTCTTTATTTCTTCGACCCAGGTTCCATGCGAAGGAGCCTGTCCTTCATCGAACCATGGTTGCAGTGTATAGGACGGGTTCCATCTTAGCATTTATTGTATCGCACCGGCTTCGACCCTCCCACTGCGGATGCTATAAGGCAACAACTCCGACTCACTTATCACATCACAGTCTACTGACATATCCTGATCATGCCGATCCGAACTCACAACGCTGGAGACCGAACGCTGAGCAACCAATTGTGCCGACCCTGATGATGAGTCCTCCAGGTTGTGCCACATGATCAGAGGAGGAGATGCAGCTTTTACTTCCAGTCGATTGATCAGCTCCTCTATCTTGTCCTTCATCTCCTCGTGCAGCATCGGCATCTACCTTCTTAGCATTCTGGCAATCTTGAGTAGCATGCTTTTGAGTCCCATCCACTTTGTTCCCTGAAAACAGATTTCATTCCGTAATTTCCAGATAGACCATAAAACAGCTGAAGATATAGTATTAGTAACTCATGTTTTTTGTTAGACAACCAGTATCTAGCAACAGATTCAAAATCCTGTCCCAAGCTCAAACCTAGGAAGTCAGAAATAATCTCCCAGACCCAACCTGCCACACAGCATTCAAAGAAAACATGCACAATAGTCTCCGATTCTGAGCAAAAGAGGCAAGTAGCATCCCTTATCTCCCTTCTTTTGGCTAGATTATCTCTAGTTAATAGCCTATTTTTGGACAGGAGCCATAAGAAGAATTGCACCCTCGGTGGAATCACCAGCTTCCAAATAGAACTAATATAGACTGGGGTAACCCCCTGAAGTTTATAACAACATATAAGGACTGCACAGTGTATTTCCCAGAAGAAGTGTAGTTCCAGATAATCTGATCCTCCTCTTCTGAAAAAGTAATGCTATCCATCAAGTTCACCAATTCATACCAAAGATTCATAACATTCTCAGAAACAGTTCTTTTGAAAGTTAATTTCAGATCCACTCCATCCCACACCTCACTCACTGTCTTCCCTTGTTGGTCATTAATGATGTGTGAGGCCTTATTGGCTTGAAAAGAATTGGATTTTAGATAGAAGAATAAGAGATACCAAGCTATAAGCCTTTAACTGCTGCTAAATTTGTTGTTGTTATTGGTCCTGCAGTATAGATGGCTTCCTACAAACTCCATTGGTTCAAATCTGAAAACCTTTGAGGAAAAATTCCTCACCCAACAGCCTCAGAGTTAAGGTTGGTGAACCAATGTCAGGTTTATTATGGAATAGATTTTCTTGGAAGGTTTTGCACATATAATTTACTCCTGAAAATCTGACCTAAGCTTCTTGTTGCAGTGGGATGGCCAAGTATTCTATGTGTTTGTTCAGTTTTTTCATCAGGTTCTGTTCAGCTTCATTGGTCACAGTGGCCTTCTCAAAACTCAGCACATCCTAGATGGCTTTCTACTAGCAAAGGGGTTCTAGGAGCAGGACCCAGTGGCATAATGGCTGCTGATGCTATTGTAACAGAATCTGGAGCTTTACATGTTGCTGGGGTTCTTCTGATGCTAGATTTGTCAAAACTCTGCTAAAATTTGTCATGTTTGTAATTCGTAGTTTGCACAAGCCTAGGTTCTTCTTGCGTTGCTAATTTACTCTTATTTGTCTCTCTCTCTTTGCTGATGACCTAACTATGGGTGCTTCTGATGCTAGATCATTTATGCATTGTGATGGTCTGTGAAGGCTCAAGCATACAGTCCTCTGGGATGGTCTATCTATACCTAATAATAAAGAAGCAAAATTTTCGCCCATTTTTTTTTGTCCGTCCATTTTTTTTTTTGTCCGTCATTAAAGAGTTTCCTCCATCCGGACTTATATATAACCCGTGCTCATAAAGTTATAATAGCTTTTGTCTAGCGCGATATGAAGTGCGATTCCAAAACGTATTGGGTAGTGTATGTGACCCGGACTCTTGAGATAACTTGGATAGCTAGAATTCTAATTCTAAACTGAATAGGAATAGAAATCATGATCATCAAATAGAAAAAGGAAAAACAAAAATACAAATAAGATAAATCTTACCATGAATAGGTTTGTCGTGGGCTGATTTTGCAGAGGTATATGGCAACAATTATCTCATGCTCTCTCTCTCTTCGATTGTTCCTTTGCTATTCCAATACGCAATTACTTCATGCTATCTCAGGATTGTATAATTCCTTTCCTATTTCAATACGCGGTCTTCGAATACTTATATATACAATTCCCTTCCTATTCCAATACGCCATCTTCGAATACTTATATATACTTAAACTATTGAACCAACAAAATTATCGTGTCATATCTTTATTGTTATATCGTCTCAAAAAAATCTTTATCGTTATATAGGATGTTCCAAATTTGCTTTTCTATTATTTTTTCTACGTCATTTTTTTGGATGGATTTGTTTCCCTCACACGATGTTTCTATGTTTTCCTTACGTAATATTTTCTCCTTTTAATTTTCCACTTATTTTTTATATATTTTTTTGTTTCTTTTTCCTCCACTGTACATTTTGGTTTTCAATTCTGTATGAGACATGATTTTTTTCTATTTTTTCTTGGGGTTTCTGATATTTGTTTGGTAATTTTCTCTGTTTTAGTGATTTTATTTGTTTCTCGTATGAAGATCAGTGTTTTTGTTTAGTTTTGTAAATGTTTTTTTTTCATGATGAAACAGGTAAACTAGAAGCAATGAGATACGTACTTACGTACATGTACATGATGATTTCTGATTTGTTTGGCAAATTTTTTCTTCTGTTTTTTCCAACGTACTCTTGTCAATTTTTCATGCGGGATTGTATTTATTTGATTCAAGGTTGGACTAAACTCATTTAAATTTTACAAAAATTGTACAATCACCGAGTAATGAATTGTACACCCCGTTGCAAGGCAAAATTTCAGCCTATTTTTTGGTCCGTCTTCCTCTAACTATCGGACAATGGAGAGTTTCTTTCGTTTGGACTTAGTTAGAATAGTCCTTATCTAGCGTGATACGGAGTCCGATTCCAAAACATATTGATCTGTAATCGTAAAAAATCGTGGCCAAAACAATACATGGCCGACGAGGACACGATCTCTAAGGCAGAAAAAAAATCGTGGCCATTGAGGACACAATCTCTACGGCAAAAAAGAAAAAACGGAAAAAAAAGAGACCCAAACCAAGAGTTTGTATGGCAAAAAAGAAAAAAGGGAAAAAGTCAGCATTTATGGAAAAAACAGAAGAAAAAGATCCAAAGTAAAGAAACTTATCGTGATTTAGTATTATTAGAATAGATCTCTACTCTTATTTTTTGGCTACCAAACACCCCTAAGGCCTTGTTTGGCTACACACAAATACACCCCAATCCACGTGGTTTGGGAGGGAATGAGGTGGAATTTAAACTAAATTACACCTCAATCCCTCCCAAACCATGTGGATTGGGGTGGATTTGTGTGCAGCCAAACAAAGCCTAAGTGGTTTATATAATCCTTTTATATTCACTTTATAGAATATTGTAATAAATATTTAAGACCCAAAATACATTCAAATAAAAAAAATTGAACTACAAAGTTGTAGATGTGTTGAGGTAATTTCTCTATCCAAGGTCATTTGAAAAAAAATAAAAACAATGAATTTCAAAAATTTTAAAAATTGTAACAGAATTTTCAGGTCCTAATTGATTTAAAATGAAAAGGTAGTGAACTACAAAGTTGCAGATCTCTCGATTACTACAGCTTTGGGTTAGGTCATTTCTCCACCCGAGGTCATTTTAAAAATTAAAAAAAATGAATTTCAAAATTTTGAAAATTTAAAATAGAATTTCTAGGCCATAATTGATTTTGAATGAAAAATTACTCAACTATAAAGTTGTATATCTCTTTGATTACTACAACTTTGGTTTATGTTGTTTCTCCATCCCAAATCATTTGAAAAAATAAAAAAAATGAATTTGGAAATCTTAAAACTTAAAACCCTAAAATGATTTCAACTGAAAAAATAGCCAACTACAAAGGTGTAGATCTTTTCGAATACAACAACGACTTGTTTGAAAATTTATGAATTCTACTATGTTGCACCTATTTTTAGAAAAATGGTCAAATTGTCAACTGCCTCTAAAAATCCATTCATAGAGACGGGTGCAATTTCCAGCCACCTCTAGTAAGGCCTCCACTTTTAGAGGCGGATGGAAAGCATAAGCGCCACATGGCATTTTTAGAAGCGATTGGGTTTTCCAAGCACCTCTAAAAATAAAGGGCTTTTCTAGTGGCGGTTGTATTTCCCAGTTGTCTCTAAAAGCCGATTTCTAGATAGACACCTCTAAAAGTAGAGGGCTTTTTTAGAGGCGGTTGTGTTTCCCAGTTATCTCTAAAAGTCTAAAAGTTGATTTCTAGAGGTGGGTTAGTTCAAAAACCATTTTTAGAGGTAGTTCTTGATAGAGCCGCCTCTAAACTAAAAGGGCAACACCTCTAAAAATGGTTGCTGGGTTTCTGTAATAGTGTACACCTTTACCATCCTTCTTTGTGGGACGTCAGCGTTTGGTAGGCAGTGGCCAACCTCTGGCCGTGGTTTGGCCACCATGGCCATGCCTGCCCTAGCCGATGGTCGTGGCCGGCTACGAATGGCCAACAAGCGGTTTTAACAAGTGTTAGGGCACCTTAAACAATAGAGTTAACTTGCTACTTTATATGGATTTAAAAAAAAGATAAGAATAGTGTGTAAACATAGACACATGAACCACAGGAAATATGTGTGAGCTTAGTTCTTCATGAAGAGCTAGCTTATCATTCCGCTCTTCTTATTGGGTAAAATATTCTATGAGTTAGCTATTAAGAAACTGTTTGAAGCTGTCCTTAGCGTGTGGTTTTGCCGTTGTCAGATTTGATACAATACGCCATGCCTTGCTGAAATGTGTAGCTATAGCTTCTTTTACGATTCAATAGATAAACATGTTTCATTCAGCTTTCAGATTTGAGCGAGTTGAAGGGGTTTTTCTTTTGTCGGTCGTGCAGCAGTGGAAGTAGAATGCAGCTGTTTTTGTTTTGCCCTAGGTGCTATACAGTGAACTCTTCCGTTTGTCAACTTTACTTGCACGAAAATAGGATATGAAGCCTGACCGAAACCAAAGGGACCTCCTAACTTCTTACAATGCCATTAATGATCAAAGGTCTACTCTCTTATTTGGATTAGTTAACTACCAATTATACTATTATTGATCATCAACCACACTTGCATATATATAGTTGAGCTGCAGTAGTGCACTGCTTGCTGTTTGACTATGTCGTAATCGACAGGGATCATCTATCTAATCCCCTGTATTGCTTGACCGTCTATGCATATGCAGATACCTCGGGCTTCAATATTTGTAATATTTAAATATGCAAGACCTCGATTGTCGACGCAGTCGTCGCATCTATGTAAATACAAGAACTAAGTCAATGTCAAGTAAGAAATGGAAGTCACAGCAGGTGATGCAACGGACGATATTCGTTCCAAAATAAATTAAATCCTAAAATATCCTAAAGTCATAGTATTTTAAGTTTAACCAACTTTATAGAAAGTCGTAGTATCATAATATATCTTATGATACTAATTTGGTCTCATAAATATTGGTGCTCTTTTCTATGAACTTAGTCAAACTTAAAAGTAGATTAACTTATTAGGATAACTTGAAGGACCGAGAAAGGCGACTAGAATAGGAGCCAATCCAAAATTTCTTCCGAAATGACCGTAGTCCCAAACAACCCACCAAAAACACTAAAACCCACAAGTGGGATGCCCTCGAGTCAACTAGTGACTAGATGCCCTTCGGGATAACCAAAAAGCATGGCAGGACACACTCCAAAGCGAAAGAACAAGAACCGGAGCAAAAGGCACCAAAGCGCAAACACAAAGCTCGCAAGCACCACTCAACCGAAGAAAGTGCTCAAGGTGAAATCACACAAGCCAACTAGTGACTTGATGATTTCAAAACATTCCTTGATACCTCGAAAAACTCACGGAAGAAGCGGATCAAAAACAGACACTCATAACTCGATCAAAGTCACCTCGGGTTGGTCCTCGGCCCGGGAAACCCGGCCTAGTCGGGATGCTAGGTCAGCCTATCCATGATGCTAAGTCAGCATGACCTACACTTTGGCAGTTTCAGCAGCTGGAAACCAAAATCCAAAAAGGTGAAAACCATTCTAGTGAAGTTTTGAGCTCAAATTTTGTGAAGATGTTCCTTGGGATGTTTCAAC